TAAAAAACTAAAACAAAAACTCTTGTCCCATAAAATAGAGATGTAATTTGGCAGACAGAGAAAGAAGTGGCACCTGCATCTCAGTGGTTGTTTATCCTCAAATCTTCCCTCTATTCCCATTGAGCCCACAGCCTCCATCTTGTCTATTAAATCAACTTTGCTAAAGTGTTCTGTCCATATCCTTAATAATATTTTCTTCTGTTTGATTTATCAAGTGTGGAGAGAAGTATATTAAATTCTCTCACTGTAGTGATGTGTTTATTTTCCTTTGTAAATCTAATAATTTTTGGGGGGGGGGGTACTGGAGATCGAACTTGGGACCTTGTGCTTTTGAGGCAGGCGGCAGAACCACTGAGGTAAATGCCCGGCCCTAATAATTTTTGATTTTATATTTGAATGGTATTTTATTAGGTATGTATATGTTTGGAATTACTATATGTTCATCGTGAGTTTAATCTTTTATTATTATAGTGATCATCTTCATTCCTAGTAATGTGCTGTTTCTTAAACTTTATTTTATCTGAAATATATAGTTTATATCATCTTTCTTTTTGTTAGACTATTCTTGGAATATCTTTTTCCATTAAGTTTTTCTGTTTACTTATGTTTTAATATATTCTGAACAGAATATATTTGATTTTAAAAATCTACTTTGTCTTTTTTGGTACTGGGGATGGAACTCGGGAACTTGTGCTTGTGAGGCAGGCACCAGAACCATACTTTGTCTTTTAACTGGCAAGTTTTGTCCATTTATAATTGTTATAATGACCAATATATTTGTATATATATTTATTTATATATTTATATTTATCTTGCCACCCCCTTGGTACTTCACACTGGCTTTTGTTTTTCTCCACTGGGTTTAAAAAAATTTTTTTTCTTTTTTTTTTCTTGTCTTCTTCTGGATTGTTGTCATTTGCATTAACATGAAACATAGGAAATATGTGAGTATTTGGAATAAACTAAAAAGCAATACTTCTCGTTTCTGCTGCTAATCTAACAAAGGAGGTAAAGCTGAGAGTAGCTGTCCCCAAACCTGGACCTGACAGATGAGGAAAATTTCCCTGAAAGTGTCGGTTAGCAATATAGGATTGTCAGCTTTTCATTTTCCCAAGTTAGGAAATTAACAAAACAATCACACCCACAAACACTACTTATACAGATTATAATTTTATTTTAAAAAGGACATTTAAAACAAAAAATCTTAAGTGTAAAAAAAATTATCTCAGGTTAAAGTTCATTCGGCAGAGGAAGTAAAAAGAATTAAGGAAAGCTATATTTTCAGGGATCATTTCTATAGTTCATTACTAGAGAATGTCACCACACTTAGGGATGTTCAGTCGCCAAACAGTTGAAACAACGTCACACACTAAAATTAGAGGCTAGACATTATGAACCCCTAAGGTACATTTATAGACCAACATGTATGTTCTCTTTAGATGGCATTCTACTAAAGGATAACAAATAAGAGTTTTCTTTATGTCACTTAATGTCTTGTGATTAAATGGAGGTGTTTGACTAAAAGACTATCCCAAACCAGATGGACATGTAAGTGTTACAAAGAAAATGTCATCATGATTGTCATGCTAAAATACTGTGTGGCTCTTAATCTTAAGTTTCTCTATATAATGTATAACTGTTGTCTGTTAACATTCTACAAGGATTCAACTAAATGACCATGGTTGGTAAAATAACAGCCCTTTAACTGTGCTTTATATTTCAAAAGTGCTTGAAGTCTTAACTATTATAATAGCTAAGCTCACTGCTCCTACTGAAATACTTATGTCACCAATCTTCTCTCCTGGGTGTTTAACAACTAAAGTTTGGAGACCAAAACTAGAAAGGTAACTGGGCTATGAGGACAGTCAATATTTTGGCCCTGGCCCCTCAAGGTCAACAAAGATCCAGGACACAAAGGAATCTTTCCTGTAGGATCCTACATCTTTGGTAAGTCACTCAACCTCCTGAGCAGGGAAATTGCTGGACACCAGAGGACAAATGTACAGTGTGCCAAAGGAGGGTCACAAAGAGGAAAAAATCTCCCACACTTTCACTGAAAGCAACACGGTCAAGCAAGGCCTTGACCCATGACACTGACAGAGGAGCTGAGAGGCTCTATGCATGGTTCCAAAGCAACGCCTGAGGAGACTTAACTGACCTTGATAGATAGCAAGAGGTTCATACTGATTGACACAGGTCTCACTTTAATTTGGTTTTAAACACCCAGCAGAAAAGAATAACCAAAATGTATAAAATAATGCCGTAGAAATAAGCTAGATATAAAAAGGGGCTCCAGTCACTGACCCCTTCTGGCAGTTTGTAGCTACACTAGTAGCTCACCAGTTATGGATCATTAGGAAAAAACTATAGTAGAATCTATAAAAGCCAGCAGGTATGTAAGACCAAGGGCCTTACCAAATGCTCCAAGGAGCTGACTGCAGCGACGAACACCCGGGAAGGAACACACCGGACAAGTTGAAAAATAAAACAGACCTTTATTAGTCTGGCCAGACGGCACTCCCAAAGCAAAGTAGCTAAGAGAAGCAACTGGCTCAAAGTCGAAGGCTGTTTTATAGGGGGTTGAGGGGGAGGTTAACATGTAGATTTACGAAAAAAAGGAACAAAGGTTAGTGGTTGACTGTCACGTACTGATGGTCAGCAGACACATTGATGGATTGTTCTACAGGTAGTGGGCCTGGGAACATTCGTTCTCCAGACAAACAAGGGGTTGAGCAATTTTACTTAGGAACTCTGTTTCGTTACAGATTTTATTATCCCAGAACTAACAAGCACATTTTAACCATTAATTTACAAGTACAATAGAGGCTAGGGGAATAATTGATTTTGGAATCATGCAGTCCCACAACAACTATGACCCTCTTCGGCTGGAAGTAGCCAGAACGGTCTTCACCCTTTGCCCCCTCACAGCAGTTAAGGGTACTTCTTCAGAGGGGGTAATATTGCAGATAGGTAACTTAATTAGACATCTTGTAGGCAGTTAGAGCCAGCCCAGGAGGAGGCAACATGGAGGACAGTGAAGGAGCCAACATAGAGGACAATCAAGACACATTCACTGAAGGCCAGAATTGTAAAAGAAGAGAAACTACACACCCTTGTGCTTCCCCTGGGGATAAATAGCAGTGATTGATATTCTAAATAGGTATCAACCACTTGGGGGGGGGGGCAAGGTCTTAACCCAGCCTCTCCAGGAAATATCCCTGACCCTTAACCTTACTGAAAATCCTTGTATCTTGCTATGTGACTTGCTCCTCCATTTAATCAATATTATTTCAGTGACTGTACTTGTAATCTTATTGGTTGTTCATGGTTTTGCCCCACCTCATGCCCACTTTGTAAATTTCCATTGGGTCTTATAATTTTGTCCCACTTTGAACCCACCTCACCACATGGCTTTGTTGTATAAAACATCTTTGAAAAGTGGGGTGGGCGGGCAGCCCACATTCCAGTCCCCCTTCTGTCTCTCTTAGAAGCTTTCTTTCAATAAATTTTTCCTACTCTTAAAAAAAAAAAAAAAAGAATTAAGGTATGTTATGTGCATGTACCAACTTGTCACGATGAATGTAATCATTATGTACTACAAACATGTACTAATAAAAAATTTAAAAGGTTATTTGGCAAATATTTGTGTATATATAACACAAATACATGCAGATGTTTAATATAAAATTATATGTATATTTAATTTCTAACATGCATATCTATGTTTCTAATTTCACTGAGATCTTAGAAAACTTTGACCTGTACCTAAACGAAAACCACTGAACCGAGTACAATAGGGCAGAAAGAAAATAGGTTCTGTGTTGAGGCTCGGAGCTGTCTGGGACTTGGGCAGTGCAGAAAATGGCTCAGGAGTCCTGGTGAGCACCCTAGGCTGGTGACGGTAGGCTAAGGGTACCCTAAGATACTTGGGTCCAGATATGTCAGTGTGAAGGGTCTGTAAGTTAAAGGCATTTATAAATTCCATGTTTTATCTGGGCCTTTCAAACAGGTGGAGTTGAAGCTCAGGAAATAGTTTTTTGAGCAAAATCAACTAAACACCCAATCCCTCAGAGAGCGTCTATTTTGGATTCCCCAAAGATCGCTTCGCTTATTCATCCTCTGCTCCCCGTTTCTCAGCCTCTTGGGAGCAGAAGCTGAGTCCTGTCTCAGATCTAACCTGGTGCTAGTGCGGGTGAAATATCTGCCACGATCGCACCCTGATGCTGTGAAAAGTGTTGTTGTCCTATCGCATACTACGGCAGCTCCAGTCACAAGTTTCCGGGCACCCAGAGCACTGCGAGTTTACTCTTCCGTGAACTGACTCGGCAGCAGAACAGTTTACCGTCTGTCTCTGTGGCGCAATCGGTTAGCGCGTTCGGCTGTTAACCGAAAGGTTGGTGGTTCGAGCCCACCCAGGGACGACAAATAAGTTTTACGAACCCTGGGTTATGCCACAAATCGTGTGAACTCAAAAGCCGCTTTCAGCCCTAACCGCCAGAGCCTGCGGAGCGCCGCTGCACTGTGATTCTCATAGCTCCACGCTGTGGGAGTTTTACTCAGTAGTTCAAAATTCGTTGGTGGGCTGATTGAAAGTTGCATTGGTAAAGCTTTTAGCTGTATTATTAACCACTGAAATTGCAACATTATGAGGATTGTTGATCAAAGGAAATAAGAACAATTGTAAAACTCCAAAGATTAAGTCTTTATTTTTCCCACTAAATTGTACCAGCCTTGTCTTTGTATTTCCTGACTCAAGAGGTGGGCATCACATCCGGAACCTGGGTCCTGAGTCCCGCCACCTCCTATGGTCCATCCCCTCCCTGCAACCCCCTACTGCCCATAAAGCTCCCTATGCACTCCCTTCTTGGCGAGACCGAGACGTGGGAAGCAAGCTGGCTAATCCATGTGAGTTATGGTAATATGATTGCAAGAGGAGAGGATTTTCTCATTAATCCAAACAGGTCTCTGACAGAATTTTGACAAAAGGAGGGAAAAAAAGATTTTCTTATTCGTGCTTTATTACCATGTTTTTCCTGTCTTCTGAAAGTAGCACACAAGATCTTGCAAAAACTTTATTAAAAGCAAGAAATGCTGTTAAAAACATCTGAAGCACAGAGACAGCTAAAGCTTCTTTTTCTTCTTGCTTCTGATTTTTATTATTATTATATTTTTAAAGCTTCTTTATGTAAGCAGCCACTGCCGTCTCCAACCCCTCCCCATTGGTACTGGTAAGCTGAGGGATTTCAGAGCTTCGTAATTTAACTCAGGAAGCTCAGGACATTTAATGTTGGCTATTCAACATCTTTTTAATGTATGGTATGCACAAAGTTTTACCTAAATCAGATATGGAAACAGAAAAGCTGTTTTTTAAGAGTTCCCACCCTTCCTCTCCTCTAATTCTTACTACCTTGGTCAACAAAAACCGCCTAAGCCCCTGGCCATTGCTTCCTGTGAACTTGTGGTTATAGCTTTCTTGACACGTTTTCTCAGGTTAGATGCTGAGATACCTCTGTCAGCACAACACATGGGTTTATCTCTACTTCTCTGAGTCCATTCCTTCGGTCATAGCCCCCTTCCTTTTCTGCTCAGTGCATTAAGAAGATTCATCATTATATACTCATAGACCATATCAATTGTTAGAGAGCCCCCGCCCCAACCCAGGAAAGCTCAAATCCACTGCACTTGCGTGATTTCTCCTTCACTCTGCTGTGCCTCCTGCTGGAGAGAGGAGCCTTATCTCTGGGCCCGGAGAGGGATCTTCCTGTCTGTCCTGGACTCCCCTGCTCTTTTTGTCATCCTTTTGCTGGATTCTGCTAATTGCCTCAATCCCTAGCAGTTCCTGTACTCTGTCTGGAAGGAGTTTGGGGCTTTCTGGAAGGCAACCAGCCCTGCAGCAACAGATGCAAACCATTGTTCTGCTGCCCTGCCTCATTCATTAACTCTTTGATCTACTTATTTATGAGGCTTTTTATCCATTTGAAAGGTGACTGTCCAGAGCCTGTGTGTTGCTGTTCTGGGAGAGTGTGGTTTGGATAGAGAAAACATACAACTCTGAGACTTCTTGGGCTTGCAGCTACTCCCGGGGCATCCCTGTGGGTCCCCAAAGATCACAGGCCTTTTCTTCCCATTAGAAACTGGAGAAAACAGAGCTGGAGGACGTGCTCTGAGCCCAGGCTGAGTAGTGTTTTTCCTGTTGAGGAAATGCCAGGTGGGGATGAGGAGGTTGCAGATCCGAAGAGAGGTTTCCAAATGCAGTACTGCTGCTTTTATTCCCCCAGGAGCTAAGGGGTCATTTGTCCTGGTCCCGGCTCCATTTAAAATTGTACTCTTTCTTGGCTACCACTGATCTTTGGAGGTCTCTCTGAACAAAGAAATACAGGCCTGTGTCCACTGCAAACAGCAATCCTATCAACAGGCAGAAAGCGATTTGGTGCCAAGGTGGAAATGGTAGTGAGATGATGGATGGAGGAGCTGTTGGATCTGACAGAAGAAGAGAGATGAACAAAATGGCTGTCACTGAGGCAGAATTGGAATGAACTGTGAGGTCACTGGGGAATGGCATTCCTGACACCTGCCAAGGGACACCATCTCGGGAATTAATGGTGGGGGAACCTGGGGCACCTTTGTTCCCTCCCACCAATTCCTTATCTTAGTGCTTCCCAAGCAAGCTCAGCTCATCACTCAGACACAGCTTCTGCTTGTTCAGGGGGTTGTGACAGGGAGTGTTCAGCAAGTGAGGTTGTCGCTTAGTGTTGGGTGACAGTTATGAAAATATCAGATAATAGTCTTGTCTATAAGCTGTCACAAACTTGTGGATTTTAGTATCATTTTTAAACTTTTTTGGGGGGACAGAGTCTCTCTATGTATCCCAAGTTGGCCTTGAACTCATGGCAACCCTCCTGCCTCAGCCTCCCAAGTGCCAGATTACAGGCATATGCTACCATACCTACCTTAACTCTTAATTTTGATATAATTTCCAACTTGAATTTGCCAGAATGACATAAAGAACTTTCATATATCCTTTACCCAGATTCATTGGTTATTTACTTTGCCCCATTTGCCTCTTCATTTGCATTCCCTCCTAACCATTTGAGAGTACAATAGGGCTTCCATATACACGGGTTCTGCACCTGAAGACTAAACCAATTACAGCTGAAAAATATTTGAAACAGCCCAACATGGTGGCCCATGCCTGTAATCTCAGCACTCTGGGAGGCTGAGCAGGAGGACTACAAGTTTGAGCCCAGCCTGGGCAACTTATGGAGAAAAAACATTGTCTGAGATGGGTATGGTGGCCTGTGTGCCTGTAGTTCCAGCTACTCAGGAGGCTGAGGCTGGAGGATTGCCATGAGTTCATGGACAGCTGAGGATACATAGGAAGACCTGTCTCAAAAAAAAAAAAGTTAGAAAAGATACTGAAATCCACAAGTTTGTGCTAGTTTATAGACAATAGCAGTTCAAGACCAGCCTGGACAACAGTGAGCCAGAAGACTTGAAAATCAAAAGATAACAGGGCTGGGGATTTAGCTCAGTGGTTTTGCTGCCTGCTGCAGAAGTGCAAGGACCCGAGTTCGATCCCCGGTACCAAAAAAGCAAACACAACAACAACAATAAATTGTGTGTATATCGAACACCTATGGACCCTTGTCATGATTCCCAAAACAATACAGTATCAACAACTTTTTTATAGCATTTACATTGTATTAGGTATCATAAGTAACCTAAAGATGATTTCAAGTACACAAGCAGATATATAAGGGTTACATGTAAATACTGTGCCCTTTTACATGAGGGCCTTGCACCTCTGAGGGCTTTGGTATTTTGGAGGTACTGAAACCAATCACCACAGATACCGAGGGACAGCTGTATTTACTGTCGATTTAAAGTGCAATAAAATTATTTTTTTGTTTTGGTACCGGGGATTGAACTCAGGACCTTGTACTTGCCAGGCAGGTGTGGCACCACTGAGCTAAATCCCTGACCAATAAAATTATTTTTTATACAAATTTAGTTATTATTTTGTCAAGTTTTTTTTTTTTGGTACCTGGGATCAAACTTGGATCCTTGTGCTTGAGAGGCAGGCAGTGGAACCACTGAGCTCAATCCCCAGCCCATATTTTGTCAAATCTTGAAAGATGTTCTGCCTTTAAATTCTTTCTTTCTTTCCTCCTTTCTCTCTCTCTCTCTCTCTCTTTCTCTCTCTTTCTTTCTTTTTTGGTACCAAGGATCGAACTTGTGCTTGTGAGACCCCACTGAGCTAAATATCAGGCCCTGCCTGTAAAATCAAACAATTTACAGTTGTAAAGGCAGGTGTGGTGGTGCATGCCTGTATTTCTAGCACTCTGGGAGGCTGAGGCAGGAGGATTGCAAGTTTGATTCCAACTCGGACAACTAAACAACTTAGCAAGACCCTGTCTCAAAAAAAATAAAAAGGACTGGGGATGTAGCTAAGTGCAAAGGCCCTGGTTCAATTTCCAGTACCAGTAAAACAAAACAAAACAAAAAAGCAAACAAAGAAAACCTCTAAAAAATTTACAATTGTAAATTGCTTACAATTTACATTTTGGGCCAGTTATAGATAGAAGTTCTGTGACATCAGAATGTCAGGAAGCACCATGCTAGATGTAGATCTCTGATCCTGGTACTATAGAAACTAGAGATAAAGCTAGGCATGGTGGCTCATGCCTGTAATCCCAGCAAACACGAGGCTGAGGCAAGAGGATTGCTACAAACTGAATATGAGGCCAGCCTGGACTACATAGTGAGTTCAAGGCCAGCTTGAACTAGATAGTGAGACCTTGTCTCAAAAAACCAAAAACTAAACAAACATACAGTTCAGGTTGGCCTTGAGCTCACCTTGTAGCCCAGGCTGGCCTTGTACTCAGTTCGTAGCAATCCTCTTGCCTCAGCCTCCTGGGTGCTGGCATTGCAGGCATGCAGCACCACAGCTGCTTTTATACCTGGCTAAGAACCATAAATGGTGGAGCAAATGTGGCTTCTACTCCTACTGTCACACTGCAGAGTGAATGACACCTCTCAGCTACCCCTTAGGAACAGGCTGGAGCAGAACCTCAAGCTTATCCAGTAATCAGGGCCCTTCAGGGTCTCTGCAAATCCCTGGGAGGGAACCCTATATAAGGAAGTCTGTGGAGTCAGGAATCTCCCCCAATTCATCTTCCTGAACCCAGGGCTGCCCTGCTCTCACCTTGAATGATGATATCCACAGTCCCTGAAGACTTGTTGTTATGTCCGATGAGCCCCCGGCAGAAGTAGGAGCCGTTGTGACTGAGTGTGGCTTCTGGAATGTGGAATTCAGAATTTTTATGAAAATACTGCTTGGGCTTGCCATTCTGTAGGTAGGTGACTTTGTACACAGGCTTGTTTTTCCAGCTGTGGCATCTCAGCCGAATGAGCTCCCCCTCTTGGAACACCCACTTAGAGGTCTGGAGCACCAGCCAGTCTGAAAGACACAGAGAGACCTCAGGCTCTGGCCTCCACTTTCAGCACAGGGCTCTTGGGTTTTTCCAACTCTGGGAATTAAAGCCAGAGCTTTTGCACTGAGCTATATCCCCAGCTCTTTTTATTTTAAAACAGAGTCACACTAAGTTACTAACTTGCCCAGGCTGGGTTTGAACTTTTGATACTCCTGCCTCAGCCTCCCAGAGAGTACAAGCGTGCGCCACCATGTTAGTGCAGGTGATGCCCAGCCAGGGCAGGGCTCTTTTAAAAGGGATACTTGTTAGCCAGATCCCAGGACACAGTGAAAAGCCAGACAGGGGACACCTCTACAAAGCTCTCTTTGGGAAAAAGCCAACTGGGCCCTGCAAAAGAGCTTGGGTCACCCTGAGACCTTTTGTCAAATGAAGGAAACACACACACACACACACACACACACACAGGTGAGCAGAACATAAAGTTAGAGCAGAAGCGCTAAGAATGAGAAAAGTGAGGGCTGGGGATTTAGCTCAGTGGTGCCGCTGCCTGCCTCCCAAGTGCAAGGTCCTGAGTTCAATCTCTGGTACCAAAAAAAAAAAGAATGAGGAAAGTGAGAAGCAAGGCTAGGGATATCTACAGGGTCTTTAAGTGTTAGACTTGGTTGGATTCATTTTGGCAGGTAATAAGGAATCACAGTAAATTCTAGAACAAAGTGGCGAAAGTGTATATGAAAATGATGATTTGCCCCATAAGAAAAAAGATAAACTTCAGAAGGAACAAGCAGTTGTAGGAATATGCAGAGACCCTCACAGCAGTATTCCATCACTCACTGGCTTGGACTTCTAGCTGCACTGAGTCACTGCGCGTGGAGAGGCCCCTCTGGCACTGGTATTCGCCACTGTCCTCCACTCTGGCAGCCTGAATGAGGTAGCTGGGGGCCTGGCTCGAGATGCGTGCTCCATTGTGGTACCAATGTGTGGAATTGTCCCCAGTTGGGTAGGCTCCCTGGCATGCCAGAGTCACATTGTCATCCTGGAGCACCCTGACCCACTGCGGGTCTAGGAGCACCACTGCCTTTCCGTGATCTGCTGAAGAGACAAGAGAACGAAGAATGAGGAGGGAGGGTGAGCAGGCCCACCCTGGCATTACCAGGCCAATGCAGAGCCAGAGCCAGCCGACTGCACACACACAGTGGGTGACTCAGTCTGTGACTCAGTCTTTGAGCCTCTTGGCTGCAGGCACTTGGCTCCATTTCTGGCCTGCCCCAAAGATTGAGAGAAACTAACCAGAGAAGCACGGGAGCAAGCTCCACTGTTGAGGAAACCACCCTTGTCTACACTACCCGGTAAAATTTTCCACATGATGGTCATTTTCCCCTACCCCTGTGTGCCCCATTTGATCAATCCAAGACTACGAAACAAACTCACCAGCTTGTGTGACAGATGAAACTGAAAGAAAAAAACACATGAATCAGATATTGGGCAGAGTGAGGAATCAGGGCAAATGCCCTGGCAGCCCAGGGTTCCCAAGAATTAAGATATTTAGTGATTGCCTCTCTGCTTGCCCTCTGGTCTCCAATGATTGTGTCTCCTGCCTCACAGCCACCCAAGTCCCATTTTTGACTCTGTTCCCTTACTCTTCGTTCCCTGTTAAAACTCAGGAATGAAAGGTAAAGATGGTGGAATTTCCTCAGATCAAGCCACAGGAACAACCTGAACCCAAGTCCCCCGGCAAGAGGAGAAATTAAGTCGTAGAGGGGAAGCTTAGCATGTTTGACTGGAAGAGATAGACCTTAGGGACCATCTAAGTTGTGCTCTTCAGTTGACATATAGGGAAACTGAGATCCAGAGGGCTGACAACTGCTCTCTGAATGCCCCTTCACTCCTGATGCACTAATCAGACCAGAGTTCTGCTCCTTTTTAGCCCTCAGGCAGTTTGTACCATCCCTGGTCCAAAAAGGGGTTTCTGCCAAACCCACAGCTTCTTAACTTCTCCCTTATACAGAGTGACCCAGACTTACCTAGAAGTAGCAGAGCCAATGGTGGCGGCAGATGCCACATACTGCTGCACTGGAGTGACGAGTCACCACAGAGAGCTGACGCTGGTAAGGGACCTAGCTGACTAGAAGAGAGGAAGTACACAGCCTTTCCCCCAAACCCATTGCCTCATTCATTGGGTTCCTTTTCCGGGAACATCATCTGATTTCTGAATCCAAACTCTGACAAGTGAGCCCCGGGACAGGACTGGAGCAGGAGGGGAAGAGCCTGGAGGAGAAGCAAGGTGGTTCTCATCCTCTGCACCTCACTGACCATCTGGGGGACACACACAGAAGCCTTCACAGTCCTCCTGTGGCCATCTCAGGATGTCTGTCCCATCTCCTGGGTCTACCCAGACACAGGAATCTTGGCCCCAATGTCACCAGGGCAGCGCTGACCTGCAGTAGCTCTGGATAGTTCTGGCCCCTCGGGGAACCAGGCCAGGGATAGTCTGCAGGTCAAGAGGTCCGATCCCAGTATTGTAAAGAGCTAAGTTAGTTAGGAATTGTTATAAAGCAGTTAGCCTGAACAGGGAACATGTTTCTCCACAGTTAAAGCCAGACTTGCTGGTGGAAAAGTTCCCCCATTCCCTCAGTGTGTCCAAGCTTCCGGACACTTCCTCTCAAGCATCTCAGGAATTTTCTTTGTTCTCAGTTTTATTACTTCTACCTCCCTGCCAAATGTAAATGAGATGTGGCTCTCTGCCCTGAGCTTGCTGTCTGTAATGTCGGATAACCAGTGAATTTGCTGGCCCCAAATGACTTGCGTTCTATGTAACCAATGCAAAGTACTCAACTCCTGCAAGCCCGCCCCTCTCCCAAGATTATAACCTGCCCTGCTCAAACCCAGAGGGATCAGTCTCTGTGGAGAAGCCCCAGACTGACCTGCTGGTGTTAAAAATAAAACTGTACAGGGCCGGGGATTTAGCTCAGTGGTTCCGGTGCCTACCTCTCAAGCACAAGGTCCCGAGCTCGATCCCCGGCACCAAAAACAGCAAAAGAAAATTGTACACTTTGTCTCCAAAACTTCTGGGTTCATCTTCCATTCTCCTGTACTACCTGTCTGTATGTTGTGGCTGGCACTTTGCCGCTATAAGACAAAGCTGGGCCCTCAGCATAGAAAAACTGAGGCACATTCACTGATTAGCAGTATAAAAACCACTACACCCCTTCTCTCAGGGATGAATAGCAATGATTGACATCTCTGTAACTGTAAACTTACTGCTTGCCTATAGTTTTGTACGCATCTCACCTCATGGCTTTGTCCAATAAAACACCTTTGAAAAGCAGGGTGGGAGGGCAACCCACCCTCCAGTTGCCCTTCTGTTTCTTTCTCTCAATAAATTTTTCCTACTCTTAACCTCTTGTTTCTAGGATTCATTCTTCAATTTTAGAGAACACAAAAATCACCTTTTGGATATCTAGCAGGTTTGGGAGTTACATCATTCCCCCTGTATCACCAGGGCCTCTTACCAGCAAAGGTGCAGGTGGGTGGCCAGGAAGTGGTAAGATTGTTAACCTGTTCTTCTCTTTCCGGTCCCTCCCCAGCATGTATGAAGTGTGACTAAAATATATGTTGAATTTTTAAAAAATTTTCTACAGTAAATGACACATTGACATTCATCCCCCTTCAAAGTACTCCCCTCACTCCAAACACAGCCTGTTGTTCCTGGTACTTTCTGAAGCAGTTCTGGAAGTCCTCTTTCCTGAGTGTCTTTATGAAGTGTGATTAAAAAAAAAAGGTAAAGGCCTGGGGATTTAGCCCAGTGGCACCGAGCTGCTGCCTGCCTCGCAAGCGCAAGGTCCTGAGTTCCATCCCCAGTACTAAAACAAAAACAAGGGGTCAGGGATGTAGCTCAGTGGTTCTGCTGTCTGCCTCCGCAAGCACAAGGACCCGAGTTCCATCCCTGGTACAAAAAAAACCCAACAAAAATCCAAAAAACAAAATGATGAATTCTGCTACTGAGTGCCATCTAATGGAAAGGCAAGTTCGTAAAACCATTATGGTGTGTCCTGGGGCCGGGGATTTAGCTCAGTGGTTCCGGTGCCTGCCTTGCTAGTGCAAGGACACTAGTTCGATCCCTGGTACCAAAACAAAAAACAAAAAAACCCCATTATGGTCTGTCCTTGTTCATTGGAGCTGGCACTGTGTGACTTGTGGCTCTTTTTCAGTAAAAATGACCATGAAAGGGGAACATTTTGAACTAATTTAGGACAATGAGGGAGCCACGACAGCACAAGTAAAGACTCTCACACAGAGGACTTCCAGAACTGCTTCAGAAAGTGGCAAGAGCAATGGGATAAGTATGTTTAAAATGAGGGGGAGTATCTTGATGGGAGGATTATTGGTAATATGTCTGTTACTGTAATTAAAAAAAATCCAAACATTCACTGTATTTTTCCATCACACCACATATACACACACACCCTACCCCAATCCCCACTTTGTTTGCTGTCACATCAGCCCAAGTCCCAGACAAAATGAAATGACTGCCTGGTAGTGCTGCTCCCCGAGTGGGTTCCTAGACAACAGCTGGGCAGGTTGTGGCCAGCTCAGGTGAGCAGCAGACAGGCGTGGGGAAGTGAGGCTCAGCAGGGATAGAGCGGAGGTGGGGCTGGCACAGGACCTGCTGACCCTTGCTTTGGGCTAGCACCCTTTCCACTCCAGGATCTTTCAACAATCACTCCTCAGGGTTTTTTTTGTTTTGTTTTTTGTTTTGGTACTGGGGATCGAACTCAGGACCTTGCACTTGCTAGGCAGGCACCGGAACCACTGAGCTAAATTCCCAGCTCACTCCTCAGGTTTTATTGGTTGCGTTTGGTTTTGTTCCTGAGTGGAGATGATTGCCTCTCCACACTGCTGTCCACTGAGGCCCATGGGGGTTCCTGCAGCAGCCTCTTCCTACAGAAGACGTCTGATGAGGGTGCACATGGAAGTGAGCCAGGCAGTCATGCTAGTGGTCTGTCTCAAGTGATTCACTGACATCCAACAAAATCTAGACTCGTGTCTGGGGACACAGCTGCCTGTACTTGAGATGCTTCTCATGGAACCTAAAGGAGAAGAGATCCCTGAGGGGCAGCTGATGGTCTCTGAGGGAAAGGGTGGGCCCTACCTCTGGTTTCCCCATCTTTCTGCCCTGTAACTTGTGGTTGAAAGTGTTCACTTTAGTCTTCCTCCTTGGAGGTTTCATTTACTTTTCAGACTCATCACATGTTGGTGGCTCTCAAGAACGGAATTGTAGGGCCAGGGATTTATCTCAGTGGTTCCAGCGCCTGTCTCAAAAGAGCAAGGTCCCAAATTCAATCTCTGGTACCAAAAAAAAACCAAAAACAAAAAGAACAACAACAATAAAAAGTGGAATTGTTAGCTGCAGAGGGAACCAGCTAGAGAGGAAGGAAAAAGCACAGGAGGAGAGAGAGGGACCGCAGCAGCCTCACAGTCATGCAATGCGTTCTCCTAAAGTGCTTGTTGAGCAGTCCTCAAATTGAGTGCTACTGGGTTGCTGTCAGAGTTAATTTTACAGCAATAGGTACATTACAACATTTTTACACAAGGCCAGATGGTCTTAGGATATCTTATACTTGAAGTATTTCCTTTGTGCTCGCTTTATCTCTTTTCCTCTTTCTCTTTCCTTTGTCTTATCACTGTATCCCCAGTAATTAGCCACAGCCTGGCATTTGTTAGGCACTCGGTACTGATCAGGCGATCACAGAGTCTGTCTGTCACAGTAAGAAAACTACCGGGAACTATAAATATTTTAGGCTGGAAGTGACGTGATCATTTTTATGTTTCATAAAAAAAACTTCCTTTTTTTTTTGGTACTAGGGATCAAACTCAGGACCTTACACTTGCGAGGCAGGCATGGTGCCACTGAACTAAATCCCCAGCCTGCAATAAAAATTACTTTGATAGCAGTCAGAGAAGTCAATTAGAGGGAACAGAGATTGGAGGCTGAGGGAAGAGTTGGGAGGTTATTTCAACAATTTAGTTGAGAGCTAGGAGATCCTGTTTAAAGAGATGTTAAAAAAGTGGAATTGACAAGACAAATGAGTGGGCCGGGGATTTAGCTCAGTGGTTTCCCTGTCTGCTGCGGAAGCGCAAGGACCTGAGTTTGATCCCCGGTACCAAAAAAAAAAAAAAAAAAAAAAGACAAGACAAATGAGTGATCGGCAAGGGGGAGGTGAGGTGTGAAGGGAAAGGAGAATCTGAGTGAAGCTCAACTTTCATTTGGATGGTAGCACCTTCCATGGATGTAGGAAACACAAGAAGAGGAGCTGACTTCAGAAGGGAGATAACGTTTCAGCTTTCGATGTTGTTCCAGTGAAACAGATGTCAAGCAGGCAGTGGGAACTCAGGAGACAGCCGGGACACAAGACGTGATTTAGGAGATACTCACATGGCTGATGCTTTAAACTTCTGATAAGAGCTTTATTTAGTCCCTCTCCCAGGAAAACATGCAAATGTACATGCCATTTTCCCTCTAATTGAAGAAGCTCCACATGAACTCCATCAGAGACCCTAGGTTGAGATAAAGTATGGATCCAGGTGTGGTGCCTGAGGCCTGTAATTCTAGCACTGGGGAGGCTAAGACAAGAAATTGTGAGTTAGAGCCCAGCCTGGACTACATAGGTGGGACCAGTCTGTGACAGGGAGGGAAAGAAAGGAGAAAGAGGAGAAAGAGCCAATGACAGAAATGTGACACACAGGAAGTTTCTTTCCTAAGCAAAAGAAGAGTTGACAAAGTTTCTTTTGTAAGAAAAAGAAGAACTGACAGAGGAGGGGAAGGAGAGGCCCCAAAAGAGAGAATAGGGAAGCTCAGGGAGAGAGTGGTCAACAGTGTGAAGGGGGACAATCGGGGAACTACTATTAATGACTGCATGGGAACAATTTCAAGGGCTGGGGCTTAGGGATAGGAGCTTCATAGCTTTGGACTGAAGTCTGAGAAGAAGCAAGGAAGTGTTTTTATATTTTAAATTTATTTTTGAGCTAGGCATGGTAGCACACACCTAAAATCCCAGCCCCTGAGAGGCCAAAGCAAGAGGATCACTGTGAGTTTGAGGCCAGTCTGAGTTACATAGTGAGTTTGATCAAAGTCAGCCCGAACTGCATAGCAAGACTCCATCTCAAAAAACAAAATAACAATAAAATTTATCTATTTATTTTTATTTTGTGGTACTGGGGATCGAACCCAATATATATATTTTTTAATGTTGATGGATAAGATTCTGTGTAGAATGCTACAGCAATTATATCTGAAAGAGAGAGACAAAGAAACAATTGTAGAATGATTGCAGAAAGAAGGGTGGGCATGCCGTCTAAAGTCCAGGTAAAGATTGTTCTCTGAGAGGAGACAGCGTACAGAAACAAGGCTGGAAATCCTGAATTTAGGGCTGCTTTCTTTATGGAGTAGATTGAACCCAGTACTTTTGCACTGGTCTCTCTCTCTCTCTCTCCCTTCCTTTCTTTTTGTAGTACTGCAGATTGAACTCAAGGCCTTTAAATGAGCTCCATTCCTTTTTATGTTTTAGAGACAGGGTAGCTAAATTTTTCAGGCTGCATTCAAACTTGGGATCCTCCTGCCTCAGCCTCCCAGAGTGCTGGGATTACAGATGTGCTACCACCATGCCTGGTTTGAAGTAGTATTGTATTTACTGTTACTATTTAGTACTAGCACTATTTATTACTATTATTGCTACTATTATTTACTACTCCTTTTCAGACTCTCTAATATGAAGAACTGTGGACATTTCTCTGTCCTGTCTAGGCCCAATCCCCTTTCCTGTTAGCACATCATTCTCCTTGAGGGAAGCTCTCGGAGTAGTCTGACAGAAGCTAAAGGGGCCAGATCCCCTTTTTCTCTATCTTGGGGCAGTGTTATGAGCTAAACTGGGTCTCCCCAAATTCATATTTTAAAGCCTATATGTTAATCCTCCCGCACCTGAGAATGTGACTATATTTGGGCACTGAGTGTTTAACGGTGTAATACTTAAAATGAAGTCATATAGGGGGTCTCATTCAATATGATTATGTCCTTATAAGAAGAGATTAGGACACAGACAGGTGTGGGGAGAAAATGGCCATCTACAAGCCAGGAGAGAGGCCCCAGGAGAGATTAAGCCAGCCAACCCTCTGATCCCAGACTTTGTACCTCCAAACTGTAAGAAAGCAAACTTCTGTTGTTTAAGCCAATCAGCCTGTGGCTTGTTAACAGCAGCCCTAGGAAACTGATCCAGGCAGCTAGAGGACAGGCCTGTAATCTG